CCAAGAATTTCATCAATAGCAAGGGCCTTCTGACACCCGCGAAATAGGTTTATTGTGCTCTCTCGGATTCCGCATTACAGAGGATGGTGAGTTTGAAAGACATTCCAGAATGTAAATGTTCCAGAACCTGACGCTGTCCAGCACCATCTACCCAAAGGCATGCATTCTCTCGAGTTTGGTGGGATAGGCGGTCATCCACCCTAAAGAGTTCCCTGTCAGCTCCAAGTTGTTTCTGTGTATACATTCATGATGTGACGTACCATAGTTTCAGTGCCTGCGGGATACCGAAACGGCACGACAGGAACTCCTTGAAGACCAACCGTTACCGTGACAGTCATTGAGAGCCGGGTCGATATTTTGAGGGACTGGGCGCCTTCACGGTAGGTGAACAAACTAATGATGAATGAGTTAGGAATTCTGACTCAGAATTGAGGTTACGAATGGCAGCCATATCAGTTCAGCGCTGCTGTTGTGGAGGAATATGTGCAAGGGGTCTACTCATGTGTATCCCTGTGGAACAAAAACACTGACCTAAAAAAATGGCTGCCATGCCAGACGCGGATCCGGAGGGATTTGGAGGACCCCCCTTTGATTGCATTTTGCTTTTCTTTTCTACCTTTTCAGGGGCCCACGTTTAAAGACTGGATTCCCCCCCAAGAGTATGAACATGAAGGGGTCTTATTTTGAGACGATTAAGGGCAAAACAAAGAGATTAAATGGCTTTCACCATCGATGATAACTACCCCCCCTACACGAACAAACATTTCCTGAAAACATCGGCAAAAACTTATGTATCCGCCCCTGTAGGCACAACCGCTATAATTATTGGTAGATGGTGCAACTATAGAAGCTACTCCCCATCTTGAGATTCGGGCTGAGAGAGTGAAAAACCGCATGTCATCCAAAAATGGGCCACAAACCTTAAGTCATTCACCAGGGCATTTGGAAGTGCGAGAACCTTGTTTTTCAAATTCTCGGAATCAAGGCCACTCAATTCTTTGCTAGGGCCTATTTGAGTAATGCAGTAACCGTGTTTTCTGATATTGGAGTGATATTAGAAGGTTTTGTGATTTCTTTGTATAGCGCCATCTGTCGGCGTAAGGACCGAGCTTCGTCGATCGGCAAAAAGCAACATGATAGTCGAGTTCGGGCGGCCTGTTCTTGACACGAGTTTCTTGTTTTCGCCCTCGAACGGTGGGAACAATACGCAAGAACACTGTTCTCGGAACAGGATCACACACCACCTCCTCGTCAGAGTTTTACAGGAACACACGGAAAACTCGTGAGATTGTGATTTTTAACTGCCACAAAAAATAGCGTGATGGCTTACAAAGACGGAGACTAGCTATGGGAAGTTTTGCAAACTTAACATTACTAATTGTCTATGACACAGAAATGGATATTCCCTTTTTAAACAGAAGCGAATTCAGCCCAGTTACCCAAACATTGACCCTCAAAGAACGTACATGGATGCCGCCATGTTGCTTGTTGCTTGATACTAACTACCAGCGATAACCGGTTGTACGTTCCCGGCGTTCAAGCAGCCGACCCACGAACAACAAATTGGACTGTTCTTGAACATACGAAAACAAGCCACCCGGACTCAGCCGAGGCTTTTATGTTCTAAAAGTTCTAATTGCCTCCTCCGTTTCATGAGGGTTACCTTCAAGGAAAATCTCGATCTTGAAGCCTAGAATTCCGACATCATCTCTGCACTTGCCCAAACCCATACAACACAAATAATATACATGTAATTAATTCTGAATTTTTGTTTGCCCTGCCTAACGAATATTATAACATTTATTTGCCCCCGAAGGCTTGTGAAAAAAACCGCAAGCCTATGGGCCTCGTCGGGCAGGGCAAAAAAAATCCAAAATTAATCAACAACTGCCCGGTGCAAATCCATCCTTGGAAATAGTTGCTACATTTGACATTCCGATACTGGCAATCTCGGTGGTCGAGTGGTTAAAACGTCAGCACTATAGTAAGCAGGAAGTCGTGGGTTCGAGTCCTACCCGAGCAGGCCTGTGTTTTTTTTTACAAGCCTTTGGGGGCAAACACTAAGTAAACAGTGTTATAATACACGCCGGGAAGGATAAAAAATCTAAAATTAATTAACATTTCCCCGGTGCAAATCCATCCTTGAAATAATATACATGTAGAAAGTCCTAAAGACCAAACCCAAGCTAACATGGAATCAAGAAGGCGCCCTTGATTTGAGAGTCAGTTGGAGCCACAGACGTCGTATAATTATTTAAAAAATGGACTCGCAATGCCTTTGTCGCGAACGAAGGCGCCAGCAGCCGTTTTACCTTGCCGAATACAAAGGCGATGGTTGGCATGCTTGCCATTGTAAAATTGATGCTGTGAACGAATTGGTTAACAATGACAAGTTAGCTTCTGTACTACCTTTGTATTCAGCACGGTAAGATGGTCGTCGGTGGCTTCAGTGACGTCTACGTGCTGATCGTTTTTTGTTTTTAAGTCCGTGGTTCGAGATGCGATCATTTTGTTTCATATATCCCTGCCAAAATCGATTAGGGGTTGATAAATGGTCTGAATCGTCGCCTTAATGTGATCCATCCGCTGGCTAATTGCCAGGGAGGGTGCCATGCCTCCAATGGGCGACTTTGAGAGTTTTATTATTTGGTTCCGCGGGTGATCTTAACCACAGCGTGCCGTGAATACGACTCAGCCGAGTGCGCCCCCAAGTGTCCTGCGGCAAAGTGGAGACCCGAGTCAGGTCGCAGCTGACCCCTGATCAGTATAAACGAGCCATTCCCAAATAAAACATTATCTCTGCCGGTATCCGGGACTCCTTGGCAAGTTCAACCAAGACAGGTATTTCCATCGTACTTCACTTTAAGATAATTTGAAGCATGAGCATGTCCCAAAAAACTTTTTGGAAAACTTTTTATGCTGATTCATCACTTGTGGCACCCCAGTCGATTATACCGAGCCACGGAATTGAACACGTGCACGTTCATAAATACACATATTGACACCAAACAACAGCACAGAGTTGGTCTGATCTGACACACTCCAAACCTTTATTGTCACTCAGCAGAGATTCACTAACCTAATTATACCTTAAGTTCAAATGCCATTCATCATCACGGGGTATTGTGGGCACGTTCGAGCGACGACCATGTTGCGGACCACTTTTCGATTTCCCCTTGTTAAACCTTTGCACAAAACAATCCTGGGTACCAGGCAAAATCGACCATTGGTTGACAAAAAATCGTCGCTCAAATTTTTGAAACACAATCATTGATTAATGCAACAACAACAACAACAACAACAAAAAACCAGACATCGAATCCGCAACTTGTCGCCGGACACGATTTTTCACACGAAAGTCTTAAGCATTGATTACTAGTCGATGATAATAATTGAGCTTAATTAGATGACCAAGTCTTGAATGGAAGCATCTTGTGATGTGGTGACCCTTTTTTTAATTACGTGCTTATTAAACAATGAGTGTATCACACTTTTTACAACTGAGAAAGGTTTAATTTAATGAGTTAATTCTGTTATTCGGACAGAAGAACCCGCATGCTTCCAAGACTATGAATGAGTTCGGCTACTGTGTTTGGTTTTTACAACGCTGCCTGCACCATAGGCGCCATGTTGTTATTCATATTCATTTCAATATCCTCCCTCGGCGCAAGCACTGTCACCCTCGTTGCGCCATCCACGGTCCCGCGCCTCTGCATCCGCCGGGTGGAGCCCCTGGCCCCAATCTGCCGCCGAAAGCAGCAGGGGAACGCCTTCTTGAAGCTGGTGCGGAAGTTGTTACCCATGAAGGCGTAGACGAAGGGGTTGACGCAGGAGTTGGAGTATGCCAGAGTATAGGAAAAGATCCGGAAGTTGTACAGGGCCTCGTGCTTGCTGAAGTCTGGCCCGCCATTGGTGTAGCGATCCCAGCAGTTGAAGATGTGCGTGGGCAGCCAGAAGACGAAGAACAGGAACACGACCATCAGGAGCATGCGCGTGGTGCGCCTCTTTTGCTGAAGGTTCTTGCGAGCCCGGAGGGTGGTACTGGCCGTCAGGTTGTGCTTAGTCCACATCTCGAACAGGAGAAGCGAGTAGCAGACCGAGATGATGGCCAGCGGTATGATGTAGGTAGTGAGGAACACGTAAGTGTAGTACACCCCCCGATCGCGGTGGGTGTGGAAGGTTTCGCAGCAGGTCCAGTAATCATCCTGGTGGAAGACCTCAACAAAGACGGCCGACGGCACAGCCATAATGTACGAGACTGCAAAGAGACAAGGTCAATTAAGGTCAATTCGGATCAATTCAGGTCAAGGTCAGTTCGGCGGTTCCGCTGGCCAGTGACCAAATGTCACCTTTCTTGGGGCGGATCGCCCGTGTAACAGTCTCATTTTGCCGGCGTGCTCGGATTTTTGGGTAGTAGCCGAACACCGCCGAGCAATCTGCATTGCGACCCGAACGTATGCGTTTTGGTTCACTTCATGGGTGTGCTGAGTTTCTACTTCACATAGATGATGGCGTGTAGGCCTTTGTGCAGACGTACCACCTCGTCCCCCGTCATTTGCAGCCCTCAATTCCAATAGATGGAGAATCATCAAAATAAACAAGCATTCATCACAACCCAACATTTTAACGTGTAAAACTACCCTCAGAACTGTGGGGTCCATCGTCCGTTGTCTGAGCGCCAGGGACAACCGACCCTCCAGTTCTAGAGAGTAACTATCTTGCTCCATATCCAATACGGGCGTTTCACAATATTGCGCCTCCAGGAGTTTGCAACGCGTTGGCCAATCTCAATGCGAGAAATTTGTCGACCCAATGCGCGTTTGGATTGGCCAACACGTTGCAAACTCTTGGAGGCGCACTATTGTGAATCGCCCGTATTGTGACGGCGGCATTTGCAGAGCACAATGAAAGCACCTGCTTTTTGTTTCAAAGTAATGTAGCACTGATATATGCAGGAAACAGTGATATACAGGAAACACTGGAAATTACGATCCCTCGTGCGGCTCTGATGTTCAGACTGTGAGGATCAAACAATCTTCCAGTCTCCTCTGTGTACTCCTTCGTATTAACCGAGCCAAAATGAGGAACCTGACTACGAGCGTGTTCATACTTGTTCGACTGGAAAAATCTGCCCACCGGCTAAATGGGCGCGTTGCCGCAACGTGCTCATTTATCCGGTGCGTTCTTCTGGAAATTCGAGCACGCTGGAAAAATGAGACCGTGGCACCGGGCGGGACGCGAGAGGCCATATTGAAGTCGAAATTGAAAATACCTTTCACTTTGCACATGCACCTCTGTTTGTATTTTGCCTTCCCCTCTCACCCATTGAGGGCGCTATGGTGGACTTGCCACCCCTCGGCAATTCTGAAATTCGGCACCTGAAATTGTTGCAGCTATCCTTAGAAGCCCCCGAAATCGAGACACGGTGGCTTCATTATCCATTCTCAGAGTTTCTGGCTTGTTGCGGAAACTTTGCATAATACCCGACACTTTTCAGTTTGGACTGGTCATGCCCTCACTATCTTCAAAGCGACTGTCCAACAAAAGGCATTTTTCTTTCTTCTACTCTTGCCCACAAAGAAGTCCCAGAAAAAGATCGTATGCCTCTTGTTAGGCGATTATACTCACGTATCCAGACGCCAAGGTTGAGGAGAAATGCCAGTCGCCTGGTTCTGTACTTCAAGGATTTGATTGGGAACACGATGGCGAAGTAACGATCTGCACTCATCACTGTCAACGTCATGCAAGTGGCATGGACAGACGCCTGGGGAACCAGACCAAAAGGTGACATTCTGAAATTCCGCGTGAACCTAGCAACAAGTACCTTCCACGGAGAAAAGAAACGTGCTTATAATTCTCGTCGGTTTGCCGTAAGACTGAGCTCAGAGCAAAAAAGTCCTCTCCACGTCTGTAATACTTGGCTTTGCCGTCTTCAGGTTATACAAATTACAACGCAGGGCCTTGGGTGAAGGAAACGTTTTCTTCTAACCCATTTAACAGAGGACACATTCACAAAGGACAGCCCAAACAAAAGACAACGACAAGAGATGTCAAAATGTCAAAGCTAGCTGTTGTAACACTATGCCATAGGCCTAAATAGATTTAGAACAAAGGATACAGTGCAGTTTGGGGAAGTTGGTTGTGTTTTGTAACGAGATGGAAACATTATTTCATGTACCGTAACACTGCAGGAGTAGTTGCTCCATTTCCACACTTTGCTCCCCCTACGATGAGAACCAACATTACCCAAGAGGAAGGTTTGAGGTAATGCTAAGCGCAATCTTGATCCTTGCGCTATTTAATTGTACTTCTTCCTGGGTTGATTATCCTATGAATGAATGCTATTCAAAGAGGTATCAACTCAGGATTGATTAAAATACATTTGCGCAAGGTTCAAGATTGCTCTTAACAGTAACGCAGTGTGCATCTCTTTCGTGAGTGAGTGGGGTTCTTCAGAGAAACAGTGGATTCAAAGTTTTGGACTGTATACTCCACGGGCGCTCAGAGCACACTGTACAGAGCATTGCACTTGCTCACTAACTCGCTACTCACCCAACCCCTCACTCACCCAATCCTTCACTCACTCACTCACCCACTCACTCAAAGAATAGATTGACACTGTGCCAAAAAGCCTTTGTCCCATTGGTACACAAGTTCAACCTTACCTGTTGAACGTACATCACGACTGTGCAGATGCCATCGTTCAGGAAGCTGTGAGGTATAAAGGTCATGGTGGTGAAAGGTATGCAGAACAGGAGGAAGGTGAGGTCGGTCAGAGCCAGGTTAACAATGTAGTAGTTGGTGACCGTGGACATCTTCATCTGTAACACCACCACGAAGACCACCAGGGCGTTGGTGATGACTCCCACGGCCACGATCAGCGACCAGGACAAGGGCACCAAGATCGTCTCCGGATGGGGCCTGCCATCAGACTGGTAGTCGTCGTAGTACGAGAAGTTGGCCCACCCAGCGTCCCCAAATTCCGGCTCCAGGCAGGGCATTTTTGGGGGTCAACTTTAGCCTCGAGGTTACCAGCTGCAGTGATTTAAATCAGAAGACATTAAATGATAGTAAAAAAAAAATTCTGGGCCCAGATTTGTGTTCGTGGAGTTGGGCTTGTGGGGCGAGATCCTACTATCCGCCGGGAATTTTGCCGGTTTCCAAAGCAAAGTGGCTAAACATTTTGACTACCTCTGTGTGAGTTCGCGTCAGAGTGCGCGAACACTTATCCTCTTGAGGAACGAAATGTCCACTGAACGCTGTTTCCTATAATCCAATTCCTTAAACAGCCAGCAGCACGCAGAAATCAGTGGTAATCGGGATCATTCATTGCAGTAGACGTGGACAATTTGATTTGGGTGCAGTGGCTCCAACAGTGAGACAGTATCCAAGAGGCTCGTCTGGTAACTTCATGCAGGATGGCTTTGGGAGTGGGTCATATTTTAGAGACGGTACGTGTAACACTTACATAACTATGAGAAATTACAAGGAAGAGGCACATTTCGGAATTAGAGTGTAGGCCTACGTGTCCCCATGATGCGATCACTGTCATCCGCTGATCACTATCAGCGAGCGAACAGAGCCCGCAGAGGTTGTTTGCAATTAACCCCGCCCCAGCTGGGCCGGTCGCCGCTCGATGAGCGCTTACGTTCTCCCCGATCTACTTAACGATGTTGTGCCGAAAGCCCATGATTCATTTGTCAACGGGACTCCGTCTAAACAAAATTGCAGGCGGGTGTGAACCGAGGAATTGATTTAACCCCCCCTCCCCACTGCACGGTTTCTAATACATGACGAAGATGTACGGGAAATTCCTCAGCCACTTTTTGACCGCGTGTGATGTAAACTCTACGACGAATCGCCTGATAAAACGTTGTAGTAATAACCAGAATTCGGACCAAGTGACACGGGTGGTTGTTTTATGCCTTTGTTTATGGGAAAATAAAACAAGGGATGCAGACCCAAAATTTATGGTTCGAAGGGAAAGAGCGCTCAAACTCTGTGTACGAAACTGCGATGGAGTCCCCCTGGTCTGCAAGCTTTCGCGGCTGGATGATATCTGTCATTGCCAGACATTTGACCGAACACTTCTCGTCACGGAAGACGCATGAAATTGATTAAGACGATGGACGGCAGTTTCTCCCGTCCAGTAAGGCTCATCAAGTTTTGGCGCGCTTTCTCTGACCTTACTGCCATGAAGTCTTATTCCTTAAATCTGAGCGAGAAGGTATCAATTAAAGAGGAATCTTAAGTCTTCTTTATCCATCTCGAGCAGAAGAACCCCCTCATCGGTTACGAAGAGCCATGTTGATGGGTAGTGGTCATTTTGTTGGTAGCGACCGGGCCGTAACGCGTGTAATGTCATATTCGTTTGTGAACCAGCGAAATGCAGTTCCCACAAAAAGGAGGAGCCTCCATTGCTAGGAAAATTGAGACCTGTCTTGGTCCAGCTCGGGGCTCATGGTCTCGTTATGGTGTTCCCGGGGAATGTGTCTATTTTTACCCTATAAAGAATCCTTTTGATAGAACTCTGACAGCGACACTGTTGAAATGAAAACCAAACCAATCAAACCCAAACTCAATCCCATACCCAAACCCAAACCAAAGCAAACCAAAACCAGAACCATACCAAAACCAAACAAAACAGTGATGGGAAATTCTTGGGCATTGTTGCTCTAACCCATTGTCAGCGAATTGGAACAAATATTTTAACCCACTCTGTGGACGAATTTCCTCGGAAGTGTAGTCGCTTGATATTTTGACCATCCATGCTTTGACCAGCGCTGAGCAAAATGAGGAGCTAAGGCAAACAGCCGCCGATTTTTTGCTTCGGCAAACAGACCCTTTGATGGTGGTCAGCAGGCCACACTCGGAGCAATAAAAAGGCCGGGAGCTTTTCAAACAGCTGACCCCTGTCTTGATATAGGACCCTATGGCCAGTTTGTTATTTTCAGACCACGTCCTCGTTTCTCCCGCCTAACTTCACTTGATTGCAAATGAAGGTGTGAACTGCTTCCCTCGACATCTTTGCATACATTGCAAAACTGTTCATGTTTACGGCATGCAGACCATTAGTTCTACATAGACACCACGTTATATTACCACGCGCTGTTTTTATCAACACTTCAATTTAATGGCCAGTGGCCGCAGTGCCTGCCTATAAGTCTGCCTATTTATTAAGATCAGAGTGCAACCTATCATCTTGAAGTTTATTCTATGGCAACAGCTTCACTCTAAACACTTCGGTCGTATATTTTCTGGACACTGTCGTCAAGTTCTGTCTATGACGAGCATGAACTGTCCGGTAAGAGGGTTGAACATGTTTGGATCCGAATGTTGAGCTAACCATCCATCGTCAAATGCCAAAGTTTTCAAAAACAGTGTACCCCAAATGCCTCAAGTGACTGCAATTAAATACAAACAGAAGGACCTATACATCACGAAGCATAGTAATTTCATAACACTAAGCCCAAATCAGACTTAAGTTTAACCGAGTCAAGAGCGGATCCAGGGGGATAAATGGAGGTATGCCCCCAGCCAAAAGAATCAATTTGGAGGAAAACACTGAACGGTGATTTGGGGGGGGGTTATTTCCCTTCCTTCAAAAGTCGCGTAAAAAACACAGAGTCTCAACTCTCATAAAGACAATACAAGGTCCCCCCAAAAAATCTTCCAAACTTTTTTGGATCACCAAAAAAGGTTTGGCTCCTCAAAATTTGGTTCTATCTGTCCTTGGACAGAACATGATTAGTGCGGACAAAGTTAATACATTCAAACCAAAGTTAATGAAAAGTGGCGTTGCAAGGTCTCCGATCGTCAATTTCTATTTTTCGAGCCAGATTGGCATATGCCATATGGTACTCTTTTTTATGCCCCAGCTTTGCGACTTGGGTTCAAAACCCGTGAACTGGGTTTGCTGGTCCCAAACCAGACTCCATGTTTCCTTAAAATATTCATCTGGGGCTTTCCTCCCATTTCAGTTACAGTTACAGTTACTTCACTGTCTTTAAGGAGAACAGTAAATTTGCAGGTGGAAGGGTTTCCGCGGGGAAATGTAACGATAACTAAACGTGTTTTTATAACATGAGCCAACATTTGCGTTGCTGAGCTGTTTCCTTGAGACCACAGTCGATATTCTCTCGGCATTTCGTTTAGTGGGGTCGGTAGACATGGGTGTAAATCACTGGGAGGAGGGGTTATATTCTTTTGGGGGGCATGGGAAATAGACCATTGAATCAAACCCCCAGAGTTTTCGTGGTGAGAAACGACTTAGGACAAGACTAAACGCCGTGCGGCTACCGTGCCGAACTTAATTCCTACGAGTGCGGCAACATCACGGCAAAACTGCGGCAGTTGGGCGCTAAACACCGAACTCAAATAGGGCAGCGTCGTGCCACTTCCATTTGGAACGCCGATGGTGCGGCACACCCTGGCGAACTGAAGGGCTTGCTGTGCCGAAATCAATTTGCCGAGCCGAATCGCGCGCGCCGTGCCATTGCCGCGCCAGAATTAAAGATATTGAACTGACTTCAGTACGGCAGTGGTACGGCGTATAGCCCAGGCTTTTGGTAAATTGTGAAGAATTTTTGGGGCTTGCCATGAACCAAAATGAATTCAATATCACTCAAAAAGGAGATTCGTGTTAAACAGCAATACCAGTACGTCGTTTTGATTTATTGTTCGGCAGGATTGAAACACATAATACAGATGTACAGATCTGTGTCATGAACCTCGCCCCCAGTGTAATTGGGTTTCGTCATGCACCCCCTAGCTTTTCAAATGTCCGTGGCCGGGTAAGTCACACCACTGGTAGAAGGCACGATTCCTGATGCCGACCGTTAACATTCCGACTCGTCTTTATAAACCCTGGTACATCTATAAACAAATGAAGTATGTTAATTGCATCCCATCCTTTGCCGTTCGGGGAATTTGCGAAACTCGGGGCAGGAATTGTTTACCCATAATGCGTAAATATCGCCGATCATGAAAAGACAAACTACCAGGGCAAATACATCACGCTGTAGAAAAAGTTCGTCCAGTTTTCCTCGATGTTGTTCCCGTACAGTCGCACTGAAGGAACACCAAAGACACACAAATTCCATGTTTTCAAGACATCACACGGCTGTCGCGATATTTTTCCCACGGCAGTCACAAAATATTTTTCATGATTGTAGCAACTTTTTTTTCACGATCGTAAACGTTCACATGTGTCGAGGAGATTTTGATGTACATCCCCAAGTTTAAAGCACGAATCGCTGAACCGACGGGCATTCCAGTTTTCCCCCACTGAAAAATCGTTTTTAAATTGCATCGCATGCTTTGGAAATACAACAAATTTTCAGAGACGTTGAAAAAAGAAAACTAAATAAGCCAGGGGCCGCAGAGTAATTCCCTCGCAGGTTTATCTGTCATCGTTGACAGCTCTCGCCAGAACTGGAACATCTTTGCTATGGGACAGATTGTATGACCAAAGCAGCAGGAATGCCACCGTGAACGGCAAACATTGACATGGTACATTCTGGGCGCGAAAATAGACTTGGGCAAATTGTTCGCTGCGGCGGATGGCCTCTCCGTCCCGTTAGCACGTAAAGGGAGATATGAATTGGGCTGGGAAACTTCGAAGACAACTAGGGTGCTGCATGCCTTGCACTACGGAAAGAACAGCGGAAAATACAATCGGAAGTGCGACTTACCTTTTTTATAATCGCTAACATTAAAAGATTGTATTTCAAGTTACTCGATCAGATACAACCATCCCAGAGTATTTTCTTTGAGTTTCAGCAAAACGCCATGCTACGCATAAATGAAAATTATTCGATTCAAATAAACGATCTAGAACAGAGAACCTATAACCCCTACAAATGCTATGGCTGTCACACAAAACAAATGAAGAAGAAACGTAACACTTAAATATGAAACACCGACTGGAATACAGTGAAACGACATAAATTAAAAGAGAAAGGAAATCCCTTGACGAGATAATTGCATAATGGGGCAAGAGTGCGGGAGTTTTGGTAAATAGGACTAGTTCTTTCCGTCAAATTTGGAGAGAATCGTTTCTTCCGAATTTTGCTCCCTAAAAACTTAGCTGTCCCATGCCTGATGACCTGTACATGTGCGCAGTTTCAGCTCAGTCGAACTTATTGTTTTTGTTCTCGCCGTCATCCGGATTTCAGCCAGTTGTCACCAGCCTGTTTCAGCCCGCGTGCATCAAGCAACTCAATGGACAAAATAGTATGTTGCGGCTGAAATGCCTCGGGAAAAATGTGCACTGCGCAAGAACTGTGTGTCCGATTTTCTCTAAATTGTTGCCAAAATGATGGTAAGATATGACCAGACAAAACCCGTCCCACTCTTTAAGGTTTACTATATATATATAATATAGACGTTATTGATTCCATCCAAGAATCTGGGCGTTTCGAGAGATCAAGGCAGCTTAACCCTGACCACTCACGCACGCACACGCATAAATTTACATCAAGTCTTTAAACCATTCCCCCCTTTTGCTAGAACATAACCATTTCCATTATTTTTAAAATTTCAAAAAATGACAATCAAATCCCCCTATAAAAAACTTGCAAAGGGAAAAACTGACACTATGCAGCGCCAGGGGTGAAGTCGATTTGGATTTTGCTCATCTAATACGAAAAACAAATTAACACTTACTCCGAGTCAAGAAATTGTTCCTTGTTTGAAAACTTGCGAGTGGATGGATGTTGTTATCGGTCGTTTCCACAAGGATCCGACGGGGCGAGGAGTTTTAGAGGGTACGTCAGTCCTATGCAATCCACCCGAAAGATTAGTTCTCGTTTAATGGTTCGATTTGTTGGCAAGTCCGTGTGGGATACATCCAGTCCGGCCTAGCGAACACAGAGTGGTGATGAAGAGTGGTGATGAAATGGCACTTGGTATTTCTCGGCTTCTTGTGGGCCCGATGCGGGAGTTGATCGACACCAGCAGTCGCGATCGAGACGGGGCCGAGCGAGCGAGCGAGCGCTTGGTCCAGAGCCGAGTAAGCTTTTGGCCCCGTCACGTCTCGCCGGCCGGGGGTCTCGGTTGATTGAAGTGCTGAGAAAGCATGCCGATTCGCCGCCACATGACAGCTGTTGTGAACAATCGATGATGTCTTTGCCATGGTAACCGGGCTCATGTTCGACTGGGGGTGGAGTATATCGAAAACAATAATACCCCTCTGACCTCAGCGTTTGCGTTACTCGCCTATTTTTTTTCCTCTTCTGTGGTCTCTAGGTACCTCGGGTGACCATGACAACGAGACCCCAGAGACCATCCGTCATGCAGAGATTGTTACGCTTTAAATCATGCTTCGCGGCTCAAGACTTTTCTCAAGATTCCTGTAATTTCCATCGACTCCTTAACAGCGCTTGCGTTATTTTTTATTTCTGTGTTTCTCCGTTCGGTTTGGCTTGCCAAATGGAAGATTTACAAGATTCCAAAATAGGCCTACGATATCCCAGTAGTTCTGACATTTAATCTCGGAAAAAAGTCATGCGATTTCAGAAATCACCGACACTGTTGTAAGCCTTACTGGAGGCAGGTGGAAATAGACATAGATTTACAACTGGCTTAGTCGTGCTCGGAGAGTGTTTGGAGAAATCGCGATTAATCTCTCGATTTCGATTTGGTTACGTTCTGCTAGCGACTGAAGTTTCGTATTTTGAAACCTCATCCCAAAGAAGCGATCTGTTATTTCCCGTCTAGTTTGATTAAACGCATAAACAGGGCGAAAAGGTGGGCAGACACCAACACCAGTTTCATTTCCATGAACTCTCGGTTGGCAAAACGCGAATATTTTCTTTTACACAAATACACTGGGAAAAGCCAACTTGAATAAAGGCTACGATCGTAGCTCTAGAGGGACGCATAATTTCAGAAACGAGGCATGGAGACTATAGTTACCTTTCAAGACTGGCAAGAAAACCATTTTCCAATAAGAAAGTACGTGATGTGTCCCCAGACGATTGTGTAAAAAAAGCCCAACCGTTAGAATGCCTCTTGCCTCTTTGTCTGGTTCCCAGAGCAAACGAACCTGCTTCTTACGAGAGAATCTTGCCATGGATCTGTAACAGCCACCGTCACGTGAGAAAAACTTCCAGGAATGTCAGGGAGTTGTCTATTCCATCTTTGTTCCTTTCAGAATTCAGTCGTTAATGTTTGCGTATGTCTGGCATGTGAAAATCACCTTTTCTTGTTTATTTCCCCCAACTGCGTAAACGATTCTAAAAACTTTCCTCAGTTTTCTCAGTTTCTTTTAAATTGTTTTCCACCCTTGATCAATGTTTGACCATCCCCCACTGCATCCAAAACTAGTTGCGCATTCCTAGTACTAAATCATTTCAACACATGTTTTGTTGGTTCTTTATCGTGCGCGGTTGGCCGGGACTGGTCACATGAGGTTCGACAATAGCGCATAAAACTTGCGTCAAGGTCAACTGGACGAGTACGCCCTCACGTGAGCTCAAAAGCTAAAAGCGGTCCTTTGAAGCTGTTCAAATTGCTTGTTGAATTGTCGATGAGTTAATGGTCGATTGAAAACAGTACAGTTATAAACCCTGAACAATTTCCGTTCGTAATCCGGTCACTGGCATAACTCGGTCACTGACATAATTCGGTCACTAGTGCGCGTCCATCACCCCCTCGGACCAGCGAGCGACCCGAAGAAGGTCCCACAGGTCTCTTTTCTGGTCGCTCACAGTCCCCCTGGGTTCCTAATCATGCAACAGTGACCTTATTGCCATTCCGTAGGATGCATGTAGTTTGTCTTAGTCTTTGGAGGCAACGAATCCCAGCATTACAAGACAGGTGCGTATCCAGCTTTTGGTAAGGGGGGGGGGTTCAAAAGTAAATGCAGCTTCGGGCTCATTCAACACGATGCTGGAGGAGAAAAAAAATCGAAAGCCTTACTCACGGTTATTTGCTGGTGTTGTTTTCTTAGGATTTTGGTGCTGATATTTGATAATTAAATATACCGACTACTGTCTTTCTTGCTCACCTTTCAAGTATTCTCTGTAAGAAAACAAATCCGTCAAGGGGAAAGGTTGCCTTCTGCCCCCCTCCCGCTCACTGATGGGGTTGTGAGGGGGGGTGACCAGTCTAAATGCCATGAAGTATACGATTGAGAATACAATTCACTCGGCATGCACTGAGAATTGAAAGCCCCAATCGATGACGTTTCGGTTTTCCAACCTTCGAGTTGGTCTCCTAAAAAAAAAATTGGTTTGTGTTTGACCTATTTTCAGGACTGCTTTGGCCTGGCATCAACTAAACATGTCCAATGTCAATTTACAGCACCGCACAATAATTGTTTTGAACGGAGCCGGGCCAGCATGTCGCGCGGTGCCGGGGTTGCAATTTTGATCACCTTAGTTGGCGTTATGTTGACGTTACGGGAAACACAATCATATCGTCAGTCATTAAAAGCGTAGAGTCTGGTAGTAGTCCAGCTTCAGCGATAACATTTTGAACAGATAAAGCCTTGAATAACACTTCGGATGGGTATAGAACCCAGAATCTGACTTAGCTCGAGTTTTTGCAAATTGCCCGCAAAAAGCGACATTAGCCGGGGTACAGCAGCAGACTCAAAACGGGCAACAGAGTATGGGGTTTTCAGAGAATTAGAACAGTGAAATCGAAGCAAAACCAAAGTGGTAAAAAAAAAAATTTTAAAAAATGGAATTCTGTATTTTGAATATAGTCCCCCAATCGGTTTTTATCTTACTTCGGCGCCTAATTCGCATCTTAACCCAGGTGGGTCGAAAATTCCACTTTGCGACCAGGAAATCAAACCTTTGGATTGCGCATGAGCATCACTATGGGCCATGGATGTTGAGCGTGATACGTCAGGTCACAAGATAAGACCAACCGTCTTTTTCTTTATGTCACAGTGGAAGCAGTTAAGTACACGATGTATGGCAGGTCACTGTCCAGGATTACTGGAAATGTCTCGTTGTGTTTGAAAGAAGGAGTTACCGTAATGATGATTTACGAGTTTGAATTGTCTGAAAACTTTGGCCACACGCTATAGACGTGTCAAAATACACAGTCCCCATTTATGCCGTTTGCCTATGTCTCGTGCGCTCGCAGCTGTTTGACGGTGCAGTTATGATTGATACGCGTGAACGCAAGCAATTCATTATGCAAACTAATCATTGGCTTCAGTCGCTATAACTGCACGCTTTGATGCAACATTACAGAAAGACGTCGCACCGACTCGTAACTCTTTGCGGTCATCAAAACACTCGGTTCTGTGTTTATTTAACTTTGAATTACAATTTTGTAATTTCATCCAGTCGGAAATAGAAAGAACTAAAAAGAAGCGGTTCTTGTATAAGTCGGCTTCTAGGGGAAAAAACTTACTGGTGCTATATTTTCTATAAACAACTCGCGGGTCCTGCCGTACTGGGTAATGGCTATGATATTGTATGATAACTGCGGACTCTTGGGGCTCTGTGTAAGTTGATTTACTACTTTGCTGTGCCCTGGTGGCAGAAAATCAAAACAGAAGTCCCTCCAGTCAACTGTGCTCGAGGGGAAGGTTCAACCAGGAGCAGCGAGCGCTCGCTATCGATGCTGCGGGATGGAGCTCCCCGATGAAGATTAATTCGTTACTCGGTCTTTTTTATACGCTCGGCGGCCGGGTGTAATTGATGAGGAGTACGGAAAAGCTTCCGCGGTTGATTATTTTTTAAGGGGAGAAGAAGCGGGGAGGGAATTCTGGCCCGGATTCACTGCTATGGATGTTACACCAACTGATACTTCGCTTAATAGGTTTGACTCCTTTGAGTCGACGGATGTCTTGGGACACGCATAATATGCATTCCGAGGACTCTTAGCTGCCATTTGAGTTTACTGTTCCTGTCGTGACCTCACCCTCCAGCAGTTTACTTCATATGCAGGTCGATGCTGATTTCGATGGGCACTCCGATGAATTTAAGGCTGAGCGTCAGTTCTCTGTTGGACTTTGGAGAATGAAAAATTGTGCCTGGGTCTTTAATTGGAATGGAAAGAAGACACCCCATGCCGTTAAATTAACGATGCTTTAACAGTACAATGTCACGGTACGAAGCGTTGAACATGCAGGCTAATACCACTGTAATCCTCTTCGAGCAGAAGCACCCCCTCATCGGTTGAAAAGAGCCGTGTTGGTCGGGAGTGAACATTTTGTTGGTAGCAATGCGACCGTGACGTGTGCATTTCATAGTCTTTCGTGAACCAACGAAGTTCAGTTCCGACCAAAGGAGCCTTGGTTGCTAAGAAAATAACGCCCTCTCTTGGTTCAGCTCGAGGCCCATATTACCGCTATGTTTCATATCGTGGCATTTTGCCCTAAACGTCTCATTTTGGGCTGATAAGTGTAGTTGAATCAGGTATAGACTAATCCGATTAGACACCATAACTGCGGTGGCACCGCACTCACGCGCACATTCTTCAGCTTGGCGCGTGCGTACATTTGGCGAATCACGGCACCCTGTTGGTCCAAAAGGCATGTAACGTGCGTGTACCACCTGTCCACGAGCGTTGTGCCACAGAAGTAATGGCTTTTAATTCTGGTGATTGAATTGCACTATGAAAAGAAAGGCAATGAGATTGGTCATCGCGTTGCAAACTCTTGGAGGCGCACTATTGTGAACCGTCGCTATTCAATTGTATTTGGCTCGGCAAATTGATTTCGGCACGGCAGAGGATTTTGGCTCGACAAGGTCTGCCGTGCTTGTGTCATTATGTACAACGGCAGAACCACGGTGTAGTTTCAAACAAAGATCGTATAGCGCCGCAAAGCGGCGCAAGATGGCGAACTTCACCGTGAATACACGTAAAACGTTGTAATTGCATGGGCGCCATTTGAGCAAGCGATACCCCTGCGCAATGCACATTAATGCACCTTGGGGCGCAGGCGCCGCGACAGGCACGTGCACGTGGTGAGCCTGTGCCCAAGCATTACCGTAAACTGCACAGGCGTATCGCTTGCTCAAATGGTGCCCATGGTAATTACATATACGATCTTTGGTTTCAAACGTCGTGTTGCTATAGTGTCG